TTTTCAAACTGACACCAATAAGTTTAAGCAATTAATGGGAAATAACTTTGATTGCCTATAACTTTTTACTTTACTTTTTTTTGTAATTCCAAAACCAAGAGATCAATAACCTTGGGACTTGATTAACGCACATAATTGGTCGGAAGTACTATAGTTCTTAACTGTAAACGTTGGTTTTTGGTACTGATTCTTTTCCTTAGAACCGTTGGTAGCAGCAAGAATCATTTTTACGTACCAACAAATCACTGTAATTTACAAATTAGTTATCGTTGGTGTTGCACCTTATTTATTACAGGCGTATTCAATTTAATTGATGTCTTAACTGTATAAGTTTTACATTTTCTGTCTGGATTAAAAAAAGGTTAGTTTATTGCTAAGAAAACAATAACGCATTTTAGTAAAACATTTATTCAGCAAACAATCATGAATTGTTTAAACGCTTTACGTTTTTTATGTATAAATAGTTCTTGGCCTATTTTGGTAATTTTTATTATAAATTACCAATCTAAATCGTCTAGATAGTACTTCATTTCATATAGTAATCCGTCATTTCGACAGCATTTCGGGCCATCTTCGGTCCAAGCAAATATAAATTGTTATGATAAAATTTGACGACATTAACAAAGATTACAAATACTAATTTAATATGTGTACTTTGTTATGCTTAAAGTGTAGCAAATTCCCTAATTAAGTTCTGTATTTTTGTGTGTATGTCTGTTGGTAACGCATTAATGTCCTTATTTCTCAGTGTTTCACGGAAAGGGCAAGAGCACCTTGATAATGAAAATGTCAGTCCGAATAAAGTGTTAAATTGTGAGGTTGAGGTAGTACCTTAAATACTTTTAACCATTGTGGAAAGTAACATTCAATTATAGGCCAACCTTAGGGCTATGCCTCATACATATATAAATCATTTTTAGTTTAATCATTGGATTTAACATATGGACCAACACGACCCGGGTGACATTTAATTGCGAAGCATTTGTTTTGGCTTGAAACTGTCAGATAGGTACTGTATTTGCAAATGTTTATATGTAATAGTTCCGCCAGCATTTTTTTAAATCTAAATTTATTTTACAATCAGTTCAAATATGAGAACAACTAGCTGTACCCGCGGGCTTTGCCCCGTTTAACTTCTTAATTTTCAAGATGAGCTCGTTCGCATGGCTCAATCACGTCCTGGTTGAAGTTCGTTCGCTACGCTCACTCACTTTTAGGTTGAAGCTCGTTCGCTACGCTAACTCGCCTCCAGGTAGGAGTTCGTTCGCTACGCTCACTCACCTTTTGGTTGCAAATTAGCTGTTGTCATAAATTTAAAAAAAATAATAGTGCTGCACCCTGTTGGTAATCCTTGTAACTTTAATGCTATTGCACATCATAGAACAGAACCAACTTGTTTAATTGAAACAGCTGTTAAGATTCATTAATTCCATTTAAATATGAGTACTCATAAGGTTAACATGGGAAACTCCAGAGCCACTGGGGCGGAGCCCGAGAGTCCGATCATAATAAAAACAACTTAGTTTTCCTATTTAATGCCTAAAGAATCAGTGTACCAAATTTCAGCCTCCTAGGTAAATGGGAAGTGGGAGAATTAGTGATGAGTGAGTGAGTGAGTCAGTCAGTCAGTCAGTCAGTGAGGGTTTTGCCTTTTATATATTTAGATAAGTAAAACATATATCAAAACAATGTCAGGAAGCAAGCATCTGTTCATCAATAAGTCTTGCCAAAAATTGGATCAATCATTTAAATATTTACAGAAATCTGTAGCTTAGGTCCAGCACATGCACAACACTTTTTAACCTGGTAATGCACTGACAATTGTCCAGCAGATTAACAGCAAGACTGTTCGGATGATATTCTAATTTTTCTTGATAATTTTTGCTAAGGTCTGTAATTTCTTCTTTCACTGATTTAATTTTGAAGTCATTCCTAATTGTAGTGTTGGATACGAACCAGGGTGCGTCAATAATAAAAAAAAATCGGTCGGTAAATCGACTGCTGCCGTTGGAAATAAAATAAAATAAAATAATTCTTTTCAGTGCCTTAGTCTGAAATCGTTCAAGAATTTCGATGTTGGCTTTGCTCGAGGTCCCCCAAAGTTGAATTCCGTATGTCCAAATTGGTTTGATCATAACTTTATACAGTAAAATTTTGTTAGCCAATGATAATTTTGAATTCGTACCTAGTAGCCAATTGAATTTACGAAGTTTTAATTCCATTTGCTGTCTCTTGCACCAGATATGAGATTTCCAATTTAATTTTTTGTCAAGAGTTAGACCTAAATATTTTACACTGTCTGCCTCCGTTAAGGCTACATTATTAATGGTTACTGGAGGATTGTACCCTGTTCTCAGAGTAAAAACAATGTTTGGACTTGTTTTCGTTGACTTTTATCCTCCACTTTTTAAGCCAATATTGGAGCTCAGTCAAGGCAGCTTGTAGATTTATGTAAGCGACTTGAGGGTCCACACGACTCGGCAAGAGTGTGGTGTTATCAGCAAACGTAGCAACTGTGACGTTGGGGACCATAGGGATGTCTGCTGTATATATCAAATATAGCGAGGGACCAAGAACACTCCCCTGAGGTACTCCAGACTGTATCGGCTTCATATCAGAAAACGAATTATCGAATTTTATTTGAAAATATCGATTGGTCAGATATGATTTCAGAAGGTTATACAAAGAGTGAGGGTGAGAGGTTTTGAGTTTAAACAGAAGTCCGACATGCCACACCTTGTCAAACGCCTGTTGGACATCCAAAAATGCAGCAGAACAGTACTGTTTTTCTCAAATGTGTTTTTTATAATATCCACTAATCGGTGAGTTTGTTGAATGGTGGGATGTTGTTTGCGGAAGCCGAACTGATGATCTGGTATTAAGTTTAATTCATCAACAGTGGGGGTTAACCTTTTAAGTATTACCTTTTCAAACAACTTTGATACTATAGGAAGCAAGCTTATGGGTCTGCAAGAAGATGCGTCATTAGTGGTTTGCCTGGTTTTGGGATAACAACTATTTGTGCAATTTTCAGTTGAACAGAAAAATATTCCAATCGTAACATAGCATTAAATATAAATGTCAACAACATAATGCCTTTACGGGGTAGTTCTCTTAAAATTTTTCCAGTGATGAGATCGTACCCAGGACTTTTCACGGGGTTGATTTCCTTTAAAATTATTCTTGAAACCTCTGAAGGAGTGCAAGATTTTATAGGCAGTGACAACTGATTTGGTGCATCCAAAAATTCGTAAACTTCACTTTCGTCATTGGGGGGGATTCGGAGTAATAGGCTTAAAATAGGTACATCAGAAAAGTAATCTTCAAAAACCTTCGCTTTTTCTTCAGGGGTTTTAGCCCAGGACCCGTCAGGTTTCCGAATTGGAGGTACATGTTGAACTGGACGTTAAATATATTTAGTAGACTTCCAAAGAGAATACTCGGTTGCTTCAGTTGGGGTTAGATATTTCGTAAAATCGTCAAACCATGTATTTTTCAGTTCCACTAAACATCGTTTTAATTTCTGAGCTGCACGATTTAGACGAGTTTTATCAAGAGGGTCGCGTGAATTTTGCCAAATTCTCCGTAGTCTACGTTTTTCTGCTACTTTCTTCTTAATATAAATTGGGTAGTTATTTGATTTTGAGACACAGATTTTAGATTTTGGAGTTGCTTCCCAGGCTGATTTCTGTATGGTAGTGTTGAATTCGCCAGCATATCTGAAAATATGCAAACCAACTGCTGTTCTTAATATAAGAAGGTTTCAACTGACTACGATAAGATCCCCGTGCGTAGAACGGGCACACAGCTAGTTATTTTACTTTAAAACACACTCTTTTAATTTCCTTGTAGCAGCAAACCTAGATACTCGTTAAACCTACTGTTATAATAATAGATGTATTGAAAATCAATTCAGGCAAATGTAAATTCGCTTAGACGGCAGGTTTGCTGCGGCGGGGGGCCTATTTTGTTTTAATTTTATTTTTTCAAAAGTTATTTTCCTAAATAGTTATTTCAATAATTTAGTTCAATAGTTTAAAGTTATTATTCAATAGTTATATTTCCAATGGAAATAGTTATTTTCCTATAGTTACCTTGATAAAGTGCACTTCTTTACACTAATTTTTGCACGCAAAGTACGACCTCAGATACTAAACCCATAGATAAAACACTCCTCAAGTATGTTTTATCTATGCTAAACCAAACGGCAGTTCAAGTTCAATCGAGTTCCGAGTTATTCCATTCCCGTGGTTCGCATTATAATTGAGCGTCAATGTATGTAAAGTATTAAAATGCTTTGGGGAGGGAGGGAAACAGGTCCAAGACGTAGGAAGTGGTGAAGGAAGTAGTAAAGGCGAACAGTCCGGAGTGTGGGAACCGTCTGTGGCAGTTTTATTAATGTACAGTATCTTCAATCCTAAAATGCCATGGGAATGTAGGGAATCAGGTTCAAGACGTAGGAAGTGGCGAAGGAAGCAGCGAGTAAAGGTGAACAGTCTGGAAGTGTGAGAACCGTCTGTGGCAGTTAGATTAATGTATCTGCAATCCTAAAATGCGATGGGAAGGGAGGGAAACAACAGGTCTACAACGTTGGAAGTGGTGAAGGAAGTAGTTTAAAGGCTAGCAGTGCAGTGTGTGGGAACATTTGTATTTTGTATTATATCTATTAACATTTTTTATTTATTTCTTTATTAAAAATCATGAAACATGATTGCTCCACTCGACTGGCTTTCATTGCTACGAAAGCAATCCTAGTTTATTATACATCTAGGAAGATTGATAATCAATGTATTCATCATTTTCGTATTTGTTTTCCCAGACTGGCTTACTGGGCGAAGATCACCCGTTTTTTTTACTGGATCAGCTGGTTGGGATGGGTTTGATTGGAGTAGTAGAAAAGAAAAGAAAGTCGAATCGAATCGAAGTGTCGGCTGCTTCTTTGCTATAGCTAGCTAGCTACTTACTAACTACACTACAACCATAGATTAGATAAAACCTAAGGGAGTCGGGAGTATGATTTATCTATGATAAAACATAACTAACCTGCTAATTTGTTTTTTTGCATACCTTCCTCCCTTTTTTCTAGTGGGGCCTTGCTTGTACCATTCTTGTACCTAAGCTTAAGAAAAAAGTAAGAAGTTTGTGTGGTAGTGGTTGTTGTTGGTTCGGTCATACATAAAACATTGTTCGGTCGGTACGGTACTCACTCACTCACTCGGTAGAATTCGTTTGGTTGGTGTCGTGTGTGGTGTGGTGGCCTGACCTGGTGCTGTGCTGGTCGCTGGATGCTGCTGGTGTCTGTGAACTGAACATGGCGTCGTGGTTTTCTGCTCGCGTTATTTTCTGTCCAGGTAATGTTGATGCTTTACGTAACATTTTGATAATGATACGATAAGAGCAAATAAATGACTTAGACTATTGGTTTCACAAAGATAAAGTAATTTCTTGAAGTAAGTCTGTAATTAATTCCATCCATTCATCGTAACACTACTTTGGGGGTATCTCATGCAATGTAGCCTAGTTTACCCTACCAAAAGTTATAGGCCTAGTTATCATTCTGATAAATAAAAATTATGTTACTTTAAAAGTACAATCTACAGTCTAATTAACTGTATACAACACTGTTTCCAATAGCCAATGTGGCTCGCATCTAATTTTCTGATTTGCTAAGCCTATGCTTATTAGCCGGTCTAATTCGAACTTCATGTGTCAGCTTCAGCCATCAGCCAATCATTGATCCTTTCTGTTGTTGTTGCCACCGGAACTTTTTGTTATAATAAACATAAGTATGGCTGCACTTTACTTGACGTCCTACACTCATTCGATTGTTTTTTCGATTCGATATTTTCATTCGATTGTTTCATTCGATATATCGTTTGGTTAGTTAGGTTAGGTTAACCTTACCTAACTAACCAAACAATATATCGAATGAAGCAATAGATTAATCGATATATCGATCGATATTTTCATTCAAATGAGTGTAGGACGTCAAGTAAAGTGCAGCCATAAGTATAATACTTACTGGTACATTCATTTGAGGTAAATTACTGGGTATAGCCTATCGCCCTGTTTATTTGAATTATTCACTCGATTTGAAATAACAGGTTATTCACACATAAATTAGGCTAACTGCGTACTTATTATTCTGTATTACCAAAGTTATGTCTAGATTTGTATCAAAACTTATACAGTATTAGGCCTACTTTCCTGGTTAAAGGGAATATTTATTATTATCAATGATTTCTTCTCAATATAGCCTACTGGTATCAATATTTTTTATTTACCTCACGATCAGTTTCCTTCTACTTTAATATCTTCAAACGCATTTAAATTACAAATTAATAACGGGTAGGTAAACGGTTTCTTAACTGGGCTATGCTAATATCGATTAAAAGTAACTTATCAATTTGATTAGTAAACCTTCATCATGCGATTTTTTCACTACGCCTAGGCCTATCTGCAAGTTCGGTTGGTTAGGTTAGGTTATGATAGTTTAATTTTATTAGCGAATTTCCCATTATGAATTTAGCTATTACCGTAGCCTAGTACTCACAGTAAAACCTGGACCCGGGACCGATTAACTTTTTTGTTTTGAGGTCCCTAGAGGCCAAAAACACCATCCGTTCAAATTCATATAACTTATATACCTATAGCCCCTGTGTGTGTCAGTTAGCACGATAACTCAAGCAAAAATGATCCGATTTTGATGAAATTTAGTACAAACGTGTAGGTAAACCTACATTTATTCAAACGAGTTCGCGAACCAGCACGATCGGACTATGGGAACAAGGTTTAATGGGTAAAAATAGGTTTTACCCATTTTGACCCTAAAAATACAAAATCTCACAATTTCTTTCCAAACCATTTTGTAGAGCTTAAAAAAATAAATAATTTAGTATATTGAAGCGTTGTTATGCGCCTAAGTTAATGGTTACGGAGAAAATTCAATTCCTAAAAATTGTAAATTAAAAATTCCCATGTTATTCTTATGCAGAATAAGTAATCTGTTGTAGTTTGCTTGTTTATGGACATATTTGGGTCTATCCATATCAAGTGATCCAGAAATAAAATAATTGGTTGCTTGACCATTTTTTTAATGAATAATATTTTTATCCTAGATACCTATGTCAATTCTGGGTTCAAAAATGATTTTTAATTTTTTTTATCTCTTTTGTTACTTCTACGGCGGCCATTTTTGTTCAGCGGAACACACAAATTTTTGCTCATGTAAGGGTTTGCGTTAACTTGCATAACTCGGTAACCATGAACACTAGAGGGATGAAACAAAAAGCATTTTAATCTGGAAGAAACAGCCTAAATATTATGTTCAGTAGCCTACATATTTATTGAAATGTGTATCAAAAACAGTTTTTAACCCATGTCAACATTTCATAAGAAAACGGAAAAATTTCAACTTTTGAAGGCGTAACCGTTGGAACGAATAAAATCTCAGACTTGATTTTTTGTGTGTGTATAGCAACTCAGTAGAACTGTTTGTATTTCAAATATCAACCCTGAGACTTAATTCCTTTAAAAGTTGGTTATCTTTTTTCAAAAACTGAAATTTTTTGAAAAATTCTAATTTTGAGTCTCAATATGTTTGTTGGGACAAAGTTTAAAAATCTGAAATTTTTACCAAAAACCCCTCTTATGGTTGTTATACTGCTGTATGAATTTCATCTTTGAGATTCACTTTTAAGCTAAGTTACATTATCATGAAAATCGCAAAAAACCCATAAGCTCGGCCAACGCGGCTAGTACTGTAGGTAGCTTAAAGATTAATTTATAAGTGTAGGTAATTATTTGATTTTATGTTAACTTATCTTTTAATGTAGGCCTACATTTAAAAAATCAAAAACAGATTTTTAACTTAAACTTTGTATAGGCCTACCCAAAGTACAAATTATTTGTACAGTACCTACTAAAAATAAATAAAATCCTGCGGAATTTAAGTTTTATTTGTCATTCAATTTAAATAAAACTTAGTCAATTATATTTATTTTGAGGTCTCAAAATTGATTTTCCATTCAGATTTAATGTACCGTAACTCGTAACATAAATCAATAAAAAGTGTTTATTAGGCTATGGTATTTTGAAAAGGAATAACTCATATTCTGTGGGAACCGATACTGTTTCCAGTCCCCACAGGAAGTCGTAAATGAGTCACAAAACACAGAATTTCATAACAAGATACCCTAACTCATTTTCATACCAGATGAAAAAAATCACTCAACACTAAACAACAAACTCCTGGATCGATTTGAGAACTGTTTAAAGATTACTGGAACATGTAGCTTACATTGTTTTATTCCTGTACCGGACAGTAGTAATGCTAGATGCTTCATAACCTTACTAGCAACTGAATATGAAGTTCATCTTACTAATATTATAAATGTGAAAGTTTGTGTGTTTGTTTGTTTATTTGTTTGATTGTTTGAAGTTCAATCACGCATAAACTACTGGACGGGTTGGGCTGAAATTTGGCATGATAATAGCTTACATTCCCGATTAACATATAGGTAGGCCTATAGCCTATTATTATCTCAAAAATCCTTTCGGGCTCCGCCCCAGTGGCTCTGCAGTTCCCCATGTTAACCTAAAGTGTATTCATATTTAAAGAGAATTAAAGCATTTAGTCAGCTGTTTCAACTAAAAAAGTTGGTTCTATGAAATACAAAAGCATTAAAAAGTTATTAGATTTACCTACAGGGTGCAGCACTATAATTATTTTTGCATTGATGTACAGCTAATTTGAACTAAGCAGCAACAACACAATGAGAACTGTCAAAGTAGGATTGTTTACAGTTATTTTTTTATGTCATGAATAATTTGTGATTTTTGCGAATGTTTAATAATTTATTTTTCTTTATTGTTTAGGTGAAGTGGTAGAACATTAATGGTTGGTAGATGTGTAATACTATAGTATACCATCAATTTAAAGAAGTAAATTTTATCAAACTGTGTCCCCTCCCCCATTGCAAACGCAAAGCTTGAGTATAAGTGCACTACGCATTTTAAACTTATATGCCAACCCCGTACGAAGAACGGGTACTCTGCTAGTTCAACATAAAAAGCTGTAAAAATTAACACTTCATACAAAAGACTCTATTGCATGTGTGTATGACAATCGGTGGTGGGTGGCAGAGGTGATTGACATCAGTGACCAAAATAAAGATCCAGCAAGAGCAACAACCGCCTCTAAAAAAAACATGAGAAAGATCAAGCTTGGGTGCCTATAAACAAAGTTGTGAGAAAATTAAATCTCTTGGAACTGACAACAACCACGGGAAGGACATGCAACATCACCCCTGAACTGAATAAAGAAATATCCAAACTTCTTAATGAAGTAGAACAAAAAACACTAACAAGTAAAAAAAGTTGTATATATATCTTTAAGAACTTTTCTTTCAAACAGCTTTTGTATATGAAATTTTTAATATTCTTTATTAAAATAAAAGTGGTTCAGTAAATTTTTAAATAAGCTTAAGGTAAAAATAATTTATTGAAAAAAATTGTGTAAACCTGAATAAAAATAAGCTTAATCTGATATTTTTTTTTAATTTCACAAAGACAAGAAATTTGTTAGAAAAAGCTATACATTACTTTAGAGTAGGTAAGTTTACATTAAATAAAATACTTACCTACACTATAAATTAATCTTTAAGCTACCTACAGTACTAGCCGCGTTGGCCGAGCTTATGGGTTTTTTGTGATTTTCATGATACTGTAACTTAGCATAAAAGTAAATCTCAAAGATGAAATTCATACAGAAGTATAACAACCATAAGAGGGGTTTTTGGTAAAAATTTCAGATTTTTAAACTTTGTCCCAACAAACATATTGAGACTCAAAATTTGAATTTTCAAAAAAATTCAGTTTTTGAAAAATGATAACTTTTAAAGGAATTAAGTTTTAGGGTTGATATTTAAAATACAAACAGTTCTACTGAGTTGCTATACACACACAAAAAATCAAGTCTGAGATTTTATTCAATCCAACGGTAATACGTCTTCAAAAGTTGAAATTTTTCCGTTTCCTTATGAAATGTTGAGATGGGTTGAAAACTGTTTGATACACATTTCAATAAATATGTAGGTGCTGAACATAATATTATATTTAAGCTGTTTCTTCCAAATTAAATTAACTTTTTTTCATCCCTCTAGTGTTCATGGTTACTGAGTTATGCAAGTTAACGCAAACCCTTACATGAGCAAAAATTTGTGTGTTCCGCAAAACAAAAATGGCCGCCGTAGAAGTAACAAAAGAGATTAAAAAATGTAAAATCACTTTTGAACCCAGAATTGATAAAGGTGTGGCTATATAGTTTTGCCATTAATTATGAATCTGCTAT